GTTCGATCGACTCTGGTGGGATGTTTACGCAATCATTAAATACGGCTTTGCATATTAAAAGTTTTTTTTTTTCACATTCTATTTCCGAATAATTATATCAAGCCTACTTGAAAAATATTTACCGTTTTGTTTACATCGTGGATTTATATTTTTTATCATAAATTTATTCAATTAATTCCGCTATATATATATATATATTTTTTTTTTTTTTTTCTTTCAGTAACATTAACTGATACAATTAATCAATCAAGGTCGTCTTTATAATTATAATATTATTAATAGTAAAATACGATTTTGTTTTGTATATATCATGATCGATTAAATTTTAAGTTCGTGGAAGTCTTAGGCGATTACTTTGATTGCTCTCTCTGTTCTTTGGCCCAAGTCAATCCTGGTTTTCAGCTAATTCCTTCAGTCTTAACTCTTTGCGATCCTTTGATTTAAAAAGGAACGATGACACTGTAGTACAAAATATTTGCAATAATATCAAATTAACATCTGACTGTTTAAGTTAACTATAATAAATATTTAAGCCTATCAACATTAATTATTTAAATAACTGTGCTAATTTAATGTTGGCGGCCACCTGCAAGGAGCTTGAATGATAAGAATGAAAAATATAAGACTTTATATTCATTTTTAGTTGCTTATATATATATATATATATATATTGATTCGGGTTGCGAAGAGTTAAGTTTTATCCGCTCTTTTCACGTTGAAAATCATTTTATCTCGTTCCATCGAGAATCAGTCTCTTGAGTTACCGTAAAGTAACACGGATCACTGCTCTGTACCACCCTCTCCGATTACGTCCTCTCGCCGCGCCCTAGTACGTAGTACTATGTTCTTTTGTGCGATTCTACACAGGCACCGGATACGGACCATCGAGCGTTCCTGCTGCACCAGGAACCAACGACAACAACTACAGTGGTGGGCCCCAAAGGGGTTACACAGGATCTTCTTCGTCCAGCACCAACAATTATCATCCTTACCGTCGCTAAAAGGGATAACCGGCGACTCTGCCCTTTCTTTGTTGCTAATTATATATACACATACATACGTACGTGCATACTTATTACAAAACATAGTTTATGCGATGGCGAAACACGCCTCATTTATGTACTTTAAGCCCGCGTAGAAGGATTGGTCAAAATAAGTTTATAAAAATGACCGGCGTACAGTACTTTGCGGGATGAGCGAAAACTATGCAAAGAATCGACGAATAATCGCGGCATTATTATTTAGAAGGAACATGCTAGGCGGGAAGAGAGAAGAAAGTCAGATGGAACAAATTCGTTTCATCCACGATGAAGAATGAAGAACCAGTTCGGCAGTTACGGCGGAATAAGCCGCGCCAAGTAGATTTAAGACCTGATACGACATTTCATTGATTGGTGCCATTCGCGAGGTCGCGTATCGAGATACTTGATGCGCGCAGCGAAGTTCCGATACAAGTTAAAATCGACTTCAGCCCACTCGACTTTTTACTCCAAATGCTTACATTTTATAAATATAAAATTTATTATTCACGTTCACTTAACCCTTTCAACAAAGAATTTAACAGAGCAGAATAAAATATATGATTTGTTTTTTAAATAAAAATTGGATACTATCATTGATGTGTGGATTATTTATTTTCAATTATAATAATGAAAGGTGTATTATATTATTATATCACCATAAATATAACTTTTCTACAAAAAGTTTAAATATTTCCGATAAGATAATATTTCAATCTAGACGTTTGCGATGCATCTATTGACAAATTGCTTGTGAGAACTTATCAATGATTTGTCACTAATAATTCTTAGAAAGTTTAACGAAACCTTACAAGACCGTACAAAATTACAGAATATAGTGACTTATCGATTGACTTGCCGATTTTTGTTCTTCTCGATTACGGTATGCGCGCATATTTCTGTATGACTGCGTGTTCGGATTAGCCAGTGATATTCGCATGCTTGGCGGATGCAAGCGAAGCAAGCTAAACATGGTTTTGCGAATACATATAGACTCATTTAATGCTTAATCACGAATGCGGCCGGGGTTGAATGTACACAAGTTAGCGTTATGCGGCGGAAATGTCGATTAGCATATAAATTGTGCTATAAATTAGTGACATCTTTAAATCCTTAATCGATAAGTGTGCCGTCAACCTGTAAGAAACAAATCGATCGGAAGGACGACAAATTATTAACACAGTTCGTGCTAAGAAAGACACGACAACGGTACATAATAAACGGAAAATAATATTTTTTTATTTATATATTGTATAATCCGATAGAGAGATTGATCAGGATAATCTTAAATTAGCCTTATTCTCAGTGTGTTTTTGCAGCCGGAGCGTTCAATCTCCTATTTTGTTGTTTCTTTTCGTGTTTTTTAAAATTTTTATTTGATTTTGGGAGTAATATTAAATTATCTCACTCTTTTTTTTCCATTATATTTGTCGCGACGACAGCGTTAGAATTTAGAACCTAATACTTTCTTTTTTTCAATTTCTGTCGTAGGAAGTTTATTTCCTAGACGTCCTGTTTTTACTGACTGGGTGACGCGAGGCTTGTGGACTTGAGGTAAAAAAAAAGTAACAGACGCATTGAATGGCGTTTGACGCATTACAAGCAAATACGTGTCCGTTTGTTTGATACTTCTTCATCAGTATTTTTTCCCATTTTTTTCTTCTCCAATTTATTGTGTTCTAAAGTTACAAACGTATGTAAAAAAATTCGGTTTAAAATTATATATGATATAATTTTATATATATACATATAATATGTATGTTCTGTATTACATGCGTAATACATTTATTACATTTATATGTATGTAATTATGTCATATATATTTTTGAAAAAAAAATACATTGATATAATAAATATGTTGATATGTATTATACAATTATAACGATGCCTGTGAGATTATTTTTTGATCAATAATTGATTTTTTTTTTTAAATATTAAAGTATATACAAAATTTTGAAGAAAAATATCGATGCCTTTAAATTTGAAATTCTGGTTTAAGCTTGCCGAGTCGAGGGATAGTCATAAATCATCTTGACACAAAGTTAGCAAAAACCATAATTATTTATATATAAGATGTAAAAATATACAAAATAGAATATTTTTAACAGTTATGTTCATAGAGATAAATGTGTGGAAAGAAGTCATAATAAACGAAGCAAACAGACGGGCCGTTTTGTGGTAAGAATAGATAAATTGAAAACGCCAAACATATTTAATAAAATTGCGATAGTGGTTTAAGGGATGTAGCTGTTTAAGAGATATACACGCATGTACGGTTGTAAAGTGTATTTGACATTAAAATGAGAAGTGAACACATAGATCCATATCTAATGGCTATGTTTAGGATGTGTTGCACTGATTTTCGAGATGCACTCGCATTTCGGCATACATGCTTTCGCAATGAATTTTAAAGGAAATACGAAGAATTGTGACGACAACGAAGAAAACGCGCGGATTGACGCGAATTAGAATACGGTCATGTAATGTTTGTAATATTACTGATTAAGTTAATAGTTAAGAAATTAGAGAACAATTTGCTACGATACGATTGCTGTTGATGACACCATCCCCATTTCTACTATTCGCCGCTCGGTACTATATATTGTTTATAATATTTTGTTACATACACTACAAATTAAGAAGCCAGCGACAAATGCATTCTTTTAGGATAGCAATATTCCGTATGAAATTAATAAACGTTCACATTTTAATAGAAACGGAGTTGTCAATTATTTTTGAATTATCCTACTGTCTCAGTCTTTTGTATCATGATCCTTTTTTCCTGTCAATCCGGTTTCCTGTTTGCAATCTCAAAAGTGGGAGATATTTCGTTGTTCCTTCTTTTGGAAAGAAAATTAAAAATTTGAATTCTCTTACAGATTCAAATTGTGTAACACTAATTATAGTATTATTGACATAACGGTTGCAGCATTAATTGATACGACGATATATAGAATACAACGATTTATTACATCAAGACAAGATTTGTACATTGTTGTAAAATCTTACTTTCAGAAAGCAGCTTCGGAAGTCCATTGATTTTTTATCAAGCGGTAAATATTTGTTTATATTATATACATGATTTTTTTCCTTATCGCTATACTTCGTTAATGATTGTTATAATTTTATTGAAAAAATGATAAGTACGGACAAACATGCAGAAAAGATATTTTTGTACTTAATTATTCTTTACGTTTTTAACAATACAATTCTTAAGCGTTTATAAAATTATACAAGTTAAATAAGTTAAATATAAAGTTAAATATAATATCAATAAAACGGTAACAAAGTAATTTGCTTCTTGCTTGAAAATTCAGTTACGAAGTCAATTATAATAAAAAATTTATAGCTTTGATTAGCAAAACGCTGCAACATAAAATAAAGCCACATGTAATATCATCGTAATTAACGTCATCTAGATTTGTAGCTTTCAGATATGTAGATTGTCTCTCTCTTTCTCTCTCGAGAATCGTGCGATAGTCGCTATCGATTTTAATTTTTATCTTAAATCTAATCTAATAACTTTTTATCACATCGAAAGCCCTGCAAGAGATTTACTCTCACACTTATTCTATGCGTTATTATTTATTTCGAAGAGTCCCTACATTCGATTGTTACTTTGATTTTACAGTTGTACCACTTTTTCGATGGCTTCTGTACTAATTGTATTCTTTCTTTCTAGAAGTTACGGAGGCATACGGCGTTTCTCTATATAAAAGAATCGTGAGAATAACGGAATACTGATAGATGCCTAAATTAAGATTAGCTTAGGACGGTTCGGTTTACGTATAATTGTTCAATATCTCATTTCAACTATTCTCTTTTGCATATATTATTTGTATATATATATATACATATATAGCGTTTCGCGTTTCGAATTCTTTTCTCGCTATCATAGTATGTGAATATTATTTTGTCCGACAATATGATACGGCGGGTAGCAATATGTGTACTGTAGAATTATTCTTATTCCTGTTATATTTCCCGCTTTTTCTATAACGCATTAATACAATGAGGTCATTCTATGAGGTTTTGTCTGAAAATTGATGGATTTAAAAGTAATTTATGAATTTGTTTTTATTTTTCTCGGATTTTCTACTAATTTTTTCTCGTGGAATTGACTTTATTCATAATGATGATTTCATTGAGATTGTTATATTCGATTTTCCAGTTTTTTGGCTGAAAACTTTGGCATGTCGGTATAAACTTTGTCGAAAAATCACATATCTAATTTTGTTACCTTATAAAGAAATTCTAATTGTTTTGAAACGATAGTAGCATCTATATATCTGTATTATAAATCATAATCGTTGTTTGTGTCTCGAGAATTTACGAAACATTGTGTATCATTAGTACAAAAGGTATCATTACGACATCATATGTATGTACTTTCCTTCTTTGTCATAAATCCTTACATTTGACAATCTTTTCAGAACTCTCCTCTACGACAACGACAGGAGTGTTCTAACTGCAATAGTTTTTGCGCCATAAATTACAACATCCATTCGTTATATCTTCATATGTAGAATTTGTATGCGAGATCCCGAGCTTGGCACTCGTAGACATTTATGCGATGGAACATTTATGACATCGTTGTCCTTTCGACTTCGCCTTGCCGTCGTTTACTTGCTCCAGCTGCCTGCGAACGGAATCTGCGAAATAAGCGAAAGAAAATACGAGATGATACGAAAATTTTCTTCGCAGGAAATTCTATTTAATCCAAAATTAAATTTTCGAAATATTAACATTTGTTATTGTTATCTTTGCAAGCATTGCTTGTGCCGTAATCCATTGTTATCTTTGTAAATGAAGAATATTTATTTTGCTTGGTGGGAAATTTGTCGAGATAACAGAGGAAAATAATAAAAAAGGGATTACCAGCGATTGTTTTCTTGTCCACTGCTGACAAAGCGTCGCAGAGCTCTTTTGCCAGCGGTACATCGGGATTCAGTCCAGCTGCCCAGATCATTAACATTCGAAATCCGTGTTCCTTGTAGCTTGAAGGACCTATAATTGGAGGAGCTTTATCGTCCTTTTCATAAGGCTGTTCTAGGTGCATTATAGGAATATCAAATTAGAAATCAGGACATTTATAAATCAGGATAAAAAACGTGGCAGTCATTTCATTATGCGTCACGATACAATGCGACAACATATATACTTGGTTGAGATATCTGAAATTCTATGATAGAGTCATGAAATTTGGGAGATCCAACGGTGCAATAAATAATGCCGATTTACCCGTATATTGATGCTCGATAGCCTTGATTTGTTCGGGGGTGAAGGCCCAGTGAAAAGCTAATTTTTTCCAGTCTCCAGGCGCTAATTGCTTATAGGCCAACTTCCAGAGAGTCGATCGAACTTGATCCGTGAGACGGCCGTTGTTGCTGGAGATGCTGCCACCGCGGGATCCTTCCCTCCATCGTCTCCGTGCCGGAGTCAGCTCTCGGATCTCCTTATCGGAATTCGAAATCTCCTAAGATTCGTAGTGAATTCCCATAACTTTGCCTAATTTAATGTTACGATCGTGGAGCATGTTCGTTCCGCTTCAAAATTTCAATTCGTATGAAACCTGCTTTTGTCGGATCAACACAATATTTGAAATAGTATAACATTTTTCAAATACTATACTGGTGCAATGAAATCTCGCGAGAAGCGCTGTTGGATAAATTTATAAAAAATTTCCACTCTTGAAGTGTAAAATATCGTTAAAGTCATACTGTGTTTCTTACAATTATTATTGAATCACCTCAAAAGTCTTTAAACATCGATTTGGGGCGAGCTTCAAGTCGGAAGCGACGTCCGTCAGACGCAAGAAGACTGACGTTACATAAACGAAATTCTTGTAATTATGTCCTGGCGTACCTACCGGGGTCGGATAATCCAATCTCGCGGTTTTAATGATCATGTCGACGATGGCCGTGAAACTACCCCTCGCCGCAATGTAAAGTGGCGTTCGGCCGCTCTGCAAATGTCGGGATAAACTTTGGTTTAACTTCATTATCGAGTTTACGACGGCCGTCAACCCGGTACCCCTATCGCATTAACTGCAGCGCGCGGGATTAGGATAAGGCGTTCGGTACGAAGCTTTCTGCAAATAACGCGAGTCAATTTCCCGTGACACGTGTCACATTGTCGACGGAATCGACCCATGTCGTGCACGCGCGCCAGACCTCTTGTCCGGTAAATTGATTAAGATTGGGTGGGATGTGGCGTTATTAGGCTTTCGCGAAATTAGATCTTTTATAGCATTTTTATTCTTCTACAATGTTTTTGTAAAAAAAGTTTCTACTGTTTTCTCATTCGGAACAAAAATAAGTGATAAAAGACAAAATTCACATATTGAGGAAATTTATATTCTAGAATTTTATCTTCTATTATTCTTAAAATTGAAATTATTTTAACGAGAGAAAGAGAGATTAATGGCCATATATCGCAGATTCTCATTTTGTTTCTAATTTTTTATTTTTGTTCTGTTTTTATTAATTTCATCATTTTCGTAATTGTAACGATGCTCTATACCGAATAATTGGATTTGTTCGTTTATGTGGAACAGTAATGATTTGTATTTGCCACGTACTAGTGCTACCTTGATTGGATTTAAAGCATTGTAATGTCGGAGGTCATTATTAAAGCGGATCTGCTAATTACAGGTAGACTGTCAAAAGTATATATATATATAACAGAATACAGAAAACAGAGCAATATTCAACAGTTAACCCTTCGCGTAATTATATTATATTTCATTATATTTCATTGTTGCTTTATCACTTTGGCTCACGGAAATTTAATTAGATTCCCTCTTTAATTAGTTCATTGGTATTTCTCGAATCTTCTTTCGCGTCGCGAAAAGTGAGATTGTATTTGTTAAGCGAATAATTAATTTATACATTAAGTAAAGCTTAATTGCTTATTGAATAATTAATGTTTAATTATAAATCAATTAGTGCGGGCGACTCATGGTGTGACGATTTCAATAATGAAATAATAATGTCCACAAATGATTTAGTCAACCGTGCATAACATGTTTGAAACGCAAACAGATTGAATTAATTATATCGTCAAAGGGTAACGCGTAGTTACTCGATTATATCCTCATACTACTTTGATAATGTATTCACCTGTTCTTTCTGCTCGATATTCGCACCTGCTGCAAGCAGCAACTCGCAAATATCCGTATGTCCCATTTCGGCCGCGATATGTATGGGCGATTGAAGTCTCTAAAACAAGTCAGTGATAAACGGTAATAATTTCATTAAGCTGTATTGGAAATTTTTAGATATGTCCTCAGTAAAAATAGAGAGGACTTTATGCGATAACAGATGCGTTATATGCATTTTAATTTCTAGCTGGAATTATTATATTTATTGGAAATATATAATTTGCGTTTTACATACCAAATTTAAACAATTGAGATCAACGCCTTTGTTAATTAATATCTCTACCGTTTCTACTTCGTTGTTCTGGCAGGCCAGATGCAAGGGCGTGTTACCGTTCTGCAATGGATAATTGAATAAAATTGTATAATCCGTTTTACGTATTTTCTCGTTATTAGGGAATATGTTTTATTGTTAAAATGCTTACTTTTCAGCGATATTTTATTTATTTTTATTCGCCGAATTATAATTGCATGCATGTTTCACTATCGAGTGTCGAGATGGATATTTCTATGCGCGAATAATACGCAACGACAAAATATTGATAGCGATCGTTATGTATGCAGCAGCCGGCACGGATTATATTTGGAAATGCCGAGATATATCTGTACCTTGCACTGCTTGTTAAGATCGGCTCCGTGCTGAATCATGGAGTCGAGTATTCCTTTGCATCCTTGACTCGCGGCGACGTGAAGAGGAGTGAAGCCTTCCTGGAATTGATACAGATTAATCAGATATGATATACGTGCCTGTTGTTACAATGAAATCTCGTTTCTACGAATTTCGTTGATTTATTTAATCGAATACAATCTCGTCGCTCAGTGACAATTTCAATTCTGTAGAAATTGTTTGGAAACATTTATAAATTTGTTATTTATAAATATCTTACAATATGTGTATATATAATTATGAAGAATCTGTGAAGTTTGATTAATAAAAATTTGAGATACAATTTATTCCGTTTATGCAATATGTAATTTTTTTTTTTATTGTCAAATAATTGTTAAGATGTAATGTCGTTGGCAACTATTTGATTTACCGCGTCTGTTAGCTCGGTATTCGCTCCAGCTTTTAATAACAATTGCGCTATCCCTGTGTGTCTCGTTCTGGTGGCTACGTGAAGCGGGGTATTGCCATCGTTATCCTGGGCGTCTACGTTCACACCTAATCCTATAAGAACTTCAACCGCTTCCAAATGCTCCTCGGTGCAGGCACAGTGCATCGGTGTTTGTCCTTTCTGAAAACGAATCAGATTTCTTGAAAAGTTAGATGGAAAACGTCACTTTTTTTCAGCGACTTTAATATATCTTTTTCTCCCCTTTCGCCTATTTGTGATATTTAGGTCGTTTTACCCCTTTCGGCCTTGATAAACACATATGTATTAAATATTTTTGAAATTAAATAAAGAGATTTTTACACCGCTTAAAGGTTTGGTTCGTACGACTATAATATATTTGCGTAAAAATACAGTATTTTTACCGAATGGTTTTTGCATACGTTTTGCAATGTAGACGATGAAAAAACATGTTATTTTAACATCTCTTGTTTTCGCACGGCGGAACGTTTATTTAGTAAATAGAATCGTGCAAATCTTAGGGGTAATATTTTTCGCGCATATCACGGGACCATTATATTTTGCAAACTTGAAGAAGTATAACAGTATAGCGGTGAAGTTGTTTGGAAATTCTGAGAGTTGCAATTTCTTATTTTTAGAATCTCATTTCTTGCAGATTTTTCATTATAACATGTGTATATTCGTCACGGCTTAATATCGGAAAACATCGGAAGTGAAAGAAAACTCAATACAGATTTGCGTCAGCAAAGTTGCTCATAATGGCGCTTATCAATCTCGTCATAGAAAAAAGGAATCAAGAAAACTTTTCCAGCTAAAGGAATTCCTGGCGGGAATCTTATTTATATTGTTAGTCTCCAGCGGTGCTTGCAACGAAGCTGCTAGGCGTCATACGGAACATTTCCTTTTGCGGGTTCATATCGTGTCAATTTCCGATGTTTTCTTCGGTTTCCCCAGATAGATAACTGTTTAATATGTATGTATAATGTTGCAAATAACTTGTTTTTATAATACGGAATAAATCTACCTTCGGAATATTTTTCACTACAATTTCAATCTAATACCAAACGAATTAAAAGTAAAATTAACACTTGATAAAAATACAAATACTGATAAACCAAAATCAATAGATATCGTAAAACTCGCAATTGTTAATTCTATCATAAAAAAATAATACGATACGTGGTTTTATCATAATTATCTGAACAGACTTTACGACTTGATCTCAGTAATAATTGATTATACTCAAGAATGATTATTTGATACACAGCGAACCGTGTGTAATGTAAAAATGGAATGGAAAAATGGAATGGAACGCGGTATTTCAGGAAGATTAGAATTCTGTGCGCGACTGCGAAGAGACTAGAGAGCGAAACGCGAGTAAATTGAATGAAAAAGCAAGAGTATCCAGTGAGAAGGGAGATGTGGAGAGAAGTCGGGAGGGTTTGTTTACAAAGGTCCCCGTAAAATGTGCTCAAGCCTGCGGCCGAGTCGAGTTACACAGCGGTGATCTTCCTTGGGGGATTTCGCTTGTCCTCCCGATAAGGAGAAAAGGTACGCGTTGTAGCAGCCGGGCGAGACCCACTTTCCGAGACCTAAATCGAAAGCGGAGCGGTGCGCTATGACCTACCTGCGAGCGCATGCACGATTGCATACATGGAAATCCGAGCGGTTACTCTTGCCGACGCGCGTTAAACGAACGGCCGATTGTTCCTGTCGATAAATTATAAATTTCCGCTTTTTTTTCGTACCTTCGCTCGCTTCGCGATCGATACTGCGCTGCTCTATGAAAAAATATCGTTACACACACAACCGTGCCATTATTCTCGGATTGTTGATGCGTTTTCGCTGTTTCGGATATTTGTACGTACATACGCGATGACTTCACATGAAATGTAAAGCGTGGGAGTTGCGCGCGTTCAATGTTTGATATAGGAATAATATGTATAATTCAAGATAAAAAGCAAATATAGTCTGGTAGAACTTAATATTGTTGTTGTTAATTTTTGTTTTTAGAAGAGTTGTCTGTAAATTTAATTTAAAAAAAACACATAATATCGAATATATTATCGATGACTTTCGATTGTCTCTTTAATATCCAAATTTGTTCTTGAAGTTATAATATTAGGAGTACGCACAAGTTTCCATTGTTCAGATATAGATAGATTGATCCAAAAACAAACTTCTTTTATTGCGGTATCCATTTTTTGCCTAAAATATTTTGATTAAAAATAGTATATTATTTATAAAATATTAATATAATATAGATACAATAAAGAAAATTGCCTTAAAAATGATGAGAACTTTTACATATTCCTCATCTTGCTTTTATAATTAAATTGTGTTGTCGCCAGAAAAATATTGTGATGGCAGAAATCAATTTGGCAGATTAGCAACATAATTTGCAAGTTTAACAAATTATTCATGTAATAATTAACATATTTTGCTACGATAGTGTAAAATTTGAAAAATTTTCTATTATTTATTTCGTTAATATTATATCTTTCCAAACAGTTTACATGATCGCAAACAGAATCTAAATTATTATATATATTAATGAGATTATTATTTCTAATTGGTGATGTGAGTAAGAAAATGTTGTATCAACATTTCATTACGTTTTGAAACTCTGTTTAATTCTAGTATAGAAGTTACTTTTTTCATCTATAGCTTATACTTTTAATTAAACTTTTTCTTCCTCTAGGTAATTTTTAGATCAAATTTAAGTTGTTTGTTCGCAGCATTCAGATTAAATACTTCGAAATAATAATTTTTTCTTTTCCTTTTTTTATCTTACTTTTTATTTTGTTGCATTCAAAGGCTTGTTTTGTTACAAAACTGCATGTCCGTTATATTGTTTCGTTACACATACAAAGGATCTGGGAACCAACATGGCCCTCAAGCCCTTAAGCGTGTCCCAGAGGTGATCGCGTTTGCAGAGATACTACATGTATATCTTTCGCGTATTGGGAAGCAGCTTGAGATGTCCTACCGAGTGCCTGCGTCACACGTCAAAGCTGATCTCGGATTGTACACAGATGCTTATCGTCGTTGTGGCGTTTAAACAAAGGATACTGAAGATCCCATATCGATAAAAATCGACAAAAAAATAGATAAAAATCGAAAAAAGAAGGATACACACTGGCAGATCTTTGAACGATGTATTGGGAAAACTATATTGCCGAACGACAACTGATTTTAGATGAGAGATGTCTTTTTCTCTGTAGGAACTTTGCTCTCATCGTCGGATATAACTCTACTCAACACACTCAATTATTGCTACATTTCGAAAATAATAAATTTTTATTTGTTTGAACACGGGATGCAATTGAAAGTTGCATTAAATGTTAATTGGTCATTATTCGTGGAGGAGCAGAAAAAATAAATACGTTATTTTACCTTCTATTTTTTATGTAGATTATATGGCAACGTAATTATAATTATATGAAAAATACTACATTTAAAAACACTACAAAAACAATGTTTCAAAAAAATATTGTTCTAGGGCAATTAACCTGTGACAGCCAGCGAGAAAAATGGGATGCATAAAATTATGCATGATGCATGGAGATATGCAAATATTTTCCAGGAGATAACAATTAATAATTTATGAGAGAGAGAGAGTGAACTGTACACAGCGTGGTTGTGAATAAATTTTCCGCATAGTTTTGATTAATTTTGATCGGCGATTTCGTAACCGATGGAACTTCCGCGAAGTTCGCGTAACCAAGATGCTAATGGATGGACTGATGGATGGATATCCCTCGAGGTACCGAATCGGGGGGAAATAGTGGGAATCAGATTTCCGGGTGTGGAATATCTCGTTGCAACGCGAAATTCGAGAACTTGAAGCCGAAGCACGCCCGTATTGTACGAGAACGTTTCGGAATACGCACAGCGACGCACACTGATATGTCGTTTGATGTAACAAGATATGTGTGTTTGTTTGTTCATTGCTTTAGCAAGCATTTAGTCTAGTGAGACCCTACAGAAAATTAAAAAAAGAATGTGGATTATAGAAAATATATGGCCTGAATAATTGCAATTAAATTGAATCGAAATGATGAAATAATAAAATAAACGCGATAACATTATCAATATTTTTCAAATCATATTATATTAATAACAAAACTATCGAGACGGTTAATAAAACTCCTCTCGGTCTTGTACATTGTACAAGATATCCGTATTTCCGCTTGGAGTAAAGCACGTTTCTCATATCTTTATATCGTAATATCAAATGTTTTAGAGATTTCATTTCAATTGTTTCTGCAGAAACCGAGAGAAAATACTTCTTTCGTTTGAAACAATTAAATAAAATTAAAATTATTTCTACGAGGAACACAGTTTATTCTTTTCTGCGAACGTATCGACGATCTTATATGGTAATTCAACTCATCCAACAATATAGTCCAAGTAATTAAGTAGGTTTCTATTTACCTTATCTGTGGCATCGAGGATGATCCGTGGGATGTTGGCGAGCGCCGTTATCACTGCGGGATGCCCAGCGATGGCTGCATGGTGTAGTGCAGTCGCACCGGTACAATCGGTGGCCTCACCGTTTAACGATTCCACGGCTTCCGCGAGATACTCCACTACGCCTACGTTGGTGCCGCGAGCACCGCACATTAAGAGGGTGTATTGTTTCTAACCGGAAAAAAAGGATCCTTTGTTTACGCTCGTTGTATGAAGGAAGAACTCTGCGAAGGAAAACTCGAGACTTTTACATTATACGATCGCGTGTAACGTGCCTCGTAATTTCAATCTGCAGAAAAAGGAAGAGAGAAAAAAGCTTCTCGTATAATGAAAATGCCGTTTTTTTATAATCCACGCGCCTTACTTTCATATTCCATAAACAGCTCGTATCGGCACGCGCGTAATAAGATTGCGTGACGTGCCGAGGAAGCGCGTGCTATTATTTAGGACCGCCGCTAATATCAATATTGACACGTATCGATTTCAATTTCGCGGCGGTTGCCCGTCGACTTATCCCACCTTTTTTTTCACAAACTCCATGAAATTTCAGTTGCAACATCTTTCTTTTTTTCGACACTCGCGCGATCAATAAACTTCAATTAAATGTACGATGTAATCCGGTTTAACCCCGTGCAACATATTCCGCAAATTTCTGCCGGACAAAGGATTATTCGTTTTCCTCAAAAAAAATTTTCTCGGCTTGATATTATGATCCTGCGCAATATCCTGCGTTTAGTGCATGAATAGTTTGAGTTCGCTTCAACATGAAATATATGTTTGATAAAACGACTGTAGCAGGGCGATTGATATACCTTGTTAACCGCGGATACATTTGCTCCAGCATTGATCAGCATCTTCACCGCGTCTCGATGTCCGTGCCGGGCGGCCATATGTAAGGGCCGCATTCCATACTTGAAAGAGAAATGAACAGCTCGGAAATTAATGTTTGACGAGGAATTTCATCAAGTCAGTAACCGGTTAGATTAAATTCCGACAGAAGTGTCGCTCGAGAAACATGTAAATGAAGTATCCATTTATCAATTGCTACGCTTACATCGCTCACTCTTTATCTTAGAAATGCTCATCGATTCTCAATCTAAATACTGCATTTATTTTTAACATGCAAAAGTGATGTGATTCTATTACGTTTAATTTTTCTCTTTTTGTTTCGTTCGTATTTTTTGTTGACTTATTTTATAATTACTTGCACAATTTGCGAAACGTGTGCCATACCTTATCTCTCGCTTCGATATCGCATTTGGCTTGTATCAATATCTCGATAATCTCTGTGTTTCCTCTAGATGCTGCCCAATGAATCGGAGCGCGGCCATACTAAGAGAAATGTTAATGATAAATGTTAAAACATTCATCACTTTTAATAGTTTGGCAAAAATTGTATTAGCAACATGTACGTTAGATTAAATGAAGAACGCTTCATCATTTAATTTTGTCTCTGAAACAATTTTAGTGACTTACATTATTTCGGGAATCTACGTCGACAGTTTCCTTAAGTACTTTACGAACGGTGTCCGCTTCGTTCTTTATCACAGCCTCGTGTAGAAGAAGATCATTCTTAAGGACTGATAAAAAAAAGATATAGATAATGCGCGTACTTGATAATATTTTATTTTTCAAACAAAATTATGTAAGGTTGATAATTTCGCGAGATTCTTGTTGAAATAAAATTATTTGTGCGTTACGAAATAATTTTACTTGAGAAATGTTTTTAATTAAAATATATCAAATTACTTTGTCGGTGTAACATGGATGCATATGAATTAATTTTTTTATCTATCTGTAGCTTTCCGAAATTACTTTTTTAGCGTTACCTAACATACGTAGATTAACTTTTCGATCCCTTTGCAGTGGTTTTGTAAACTGAATCAAAGTACTTTTCGACGTAACATGGACGTATATAGATTAATTTTTCGATCATTGCATATTGGTTTTTGCGAAAGTAAAACTTGGAACGAGCTGGGTAAAAAGTACAAATTCAATTAATTCGTTACGGGCTTTTCATTTTAACTTCCGACAGTCACGTCGTAGCGCACACGTGCTGTCGTTACCGCTGCACACCGTTTTTTATAATTTCGGACCGCGCGGCTATCGATCGCTTGTGCAATCGAGGCGGAAGCAAGGAAGGAAGGTTGGGACGAAACACGAGAATACAGTGTATCTCTAATTAGTTGAATGGCTGATCTCGCCGATGTCCGATGTAAATTGAATACTTTTTCATTTTTTTGTAGCTGCATCTTAACGGTATGCTTGTACATAAAAGTGATTTTTAAGTGAAACAGACATGCAAGAAATTTTAATTATCGAAATATTTTTCTTTTCTCTCTCTATAACAAAGACCAAGCTTTGCAAGAGTATAGTTGTTTCAAAGAAATTATCTGGTCTACATGTAAACTAAAAATAATGGTAGCACAATATTATTCTATTGTTTCCGTAAAAAATAAAGTTTATTTAACGGTAAATTATATTTATGTGTTATTTTATTCTTTGCAATAAAATTTTTTGTCAGAATTACAATAATAATAGTAAATTATAAATTTATTAATTAGTGTAAATTAACACATTGTGAAAAAGATCCGTTTAATTTCAAGAAATTGACATTTGCAATGGACATCGGTAAAAAGAAATCTCAGTGATTCAACCGAACGCGTGAATGTGTTTCTTTTTAACTTCACTATAAATCTTGAGAAAAATGGAGACTGCGAGTTTCGCTTCTACGTCTCGCCTATATATACACGTTTTACTTGGGATTGCCAAGACAGCTTTAAATTTTCTTACGCTTCGCGGCACATTTTGCATGAGGTGTATTCGTACTCTACTTACTTCTAGCAGTCTTTTGGTTCAGTACTTCGTCCTCGATCGCTTCATTGAGGTTCAACGGTGGTGGTGCCTTCGCCTTCGTTATACTCAGTTCTTCCTTATCAACCATCTTTCACTGCCGTTGTTTCAAGCCCAGTATTGTCATCGGCATCACGGTTTCTCGGCTGTTAGGCAACGTTAATGCACCTGGAGCAGTTCGACTACTAATTATCGACGACCTGGAAAGCCAAATGATACGAAGGGTTGTGCGATCACAGAAATCATAATTAAAATTACAAATTTAAAAGAAACTGAAATCATTGAAGTAATTGGCAACGGGCCGGAGATGTGAATAAAGGAAGAAATTAAATGGCTATATTCACATTACGTGAATTTGGAATAAATATATGAGAATTGTAAAAAAAGTTAAACATATTTTTGTATTACCTATAATTTAATTTATGATAAAAAATATAGAGATTTTTTCTTTTTTTTCTTCATATATCAGAATTAAAATACAGACGTAATTTTCATTTGCCGTTGACTTCTCGATATCGCAGCATTAATTTATCTTCTCTGCCAATTATTAGAAATATTCCTCGTTATACAAAACTGGAGTTTTGTCAGAAAGTTTTACGGTTTATTAAAACTCTCATATATTTTTCGCAATTATGTTCGATACTCATCGCCGATGGAATAAATTAATATATGACGAACGAATTAATCATGAATTTTTCTCGTTTTACATTTCACAATTTGTTTTATTTTAAATGTTCCCGTTTTGTTGTAATCTGTCGTTACATAATTTGCATGAACGGACATTTAAATACATATATATATTTGAAAGCTTGGTTAACAAATAGTATGTATAACATTTAATTTGTGAGTAGTAATTAATTCATTCGCAAATTCGAATTTTAGAGAATTAAATCAGATATACTGTAAGAATAAATTTGATATATTTGCTTATGTTTCAAATGGTTCAAGTCGAATTCAAGCGAATTGCATCGTGAATTGCAATGTATTTCTGTTCTAAGGTGTTTCACAGGTGCATCGATAATAGAATTCGTTGTACGGCCATTGATTAATCTTGAATTTGGTACGAAAATGAAAATGTAAATGAAAATTTTTAAGTAAAGTAATAATTAAGCTGAACATTTTGCCGCGGGCAATGCTTTTTAGATTTTAACTTCAACACATTTGTCATTTAGTTTGCACTAATCGAATTACGATTATGGCGAACGACCCACATATGTAATCCGATGTTCGTTTAAACGTGGTTACACCCTGCATATTTAACGGCCGCAGATTTTTTCGAGTTTATCGTACAGCGCAGAGCTTGCTACCACGAGCACAAACACGCGTAGGTACAATCGCAATGGTAGAAATGTCTAAATTTTCTACATAAGTCAGCTGCACTGTAACAAAGTAAAGCTTTGATCCATGCTTCCTATCCCTTTCTCCGCTTCACTTAATCTCTACCTCTTGGCTCATCTCTTTGATGTCTCTGGTCGTGCTCAATTTCGAGGATAAATATAGTTTGAATCAAAAGCGTTAGCTCCGTGAAAGCGTTGGTATTATTAGATCTGTATACATTGAATTTTCGGATGTGTCTCTCTTAAGTGGGATCATTACAGCTATGATTGCACGGATCACTTAATAAGTTAATGACAAGTCAAAGAAAATAAAGATGAGATACACAATCAGCAATTATGATGAGACAGATCCATGACGACCGCACAGTTTTTCTGTTCGAATAAAATTATTTAAAAGAAAATGAAAAAGTAATCTATTTTACGATGTGCGTAAAGTTCTCGCATTTGCAATCACTTTCCCTCGCAAGTGTGAGTAGGCGTTATTTAACGCGCATTGGTGCGCTCGCCCGAATATGCGATAAAGTATTAAACTAATTTTGTCGATTGAGTTAACGCGTAGTTGCTGTTATATTTGCAGCGCTGTACTACGCGACAACATCTCATAAATCTAACAATATTCCGCAGCTGTCAAGCTTCGCGGAATCGCGTAAATCCAAATAATCACGGTTAAACGAGAATGGAAATTATGTCAGGTAGAGATTGCAAGCTGTTAACAGAAAGTTGCATTATCAGTCAAAGTTATTACTTTTTGCTATAATTGAGACTCACTCCTCAAACTTCCTCCGAAGGAAGTTATTTTGCGTAAAAATATTCTCTTCGTCGAAGCGTGGAATATGATATAATGTATATAATAATGTTTAATTCGAATTCACGCGGAATATTCTCGGATCCGTCGGGAGATGTAGGAAAGCGCACCACCGGATTACAGACGTTCCCGAGTTACGTAATGTATTTCATTATATTTATGTCGGTTGGGAAAACGCGTCTTCGCCCACGATGCATTCATTTGCATTATGAGTTACGACTGTCATATGTTTAATGATTAATTGTATCTGACTTTGTCGCGTTACGAAGGTATTGCTAGAGTTTGTCGCCAACGTCCTACATAACTCAGTGACTTGAGGAAGTTTATTTGCATTTGTTTAATTCTATATGAGATCTTGGGTCCCTTTGTACCTATCATATTGTCACGAAGTAATTCGGAATATTTTTGTGCAACTATTATTAGAGCGCGGCCAGTTTCTGTCGAACGCTAAAAATATTGTAATTATTAATAGCCGATTTATAATTGAATTTGCGATATTAATTTATGGAAAAAACTAATGCACATAATATTTTATGCCGATTTTTCTTTTGTTTTTTCTATATATAGCTATTTAATAATAATTATTATCAGAAGGCGGAACGTAATTGGATGTTTTTTGGTGCTACATTGAGATTTTCTAAAAATTATTTTATTGTAAAAGAACCAATTTTACATTGCTTTCCTATTATGTAGATGTAATATTTTATCCGTTATATAGATGTGATATAATGGTCAAGTCGTTTCACCGTACTCTTGGCATCATTTATTTCACTGTTCCGAGGCAGATATGGCTCCATTACTCGATACATCGCATGGCGTTGTACATTTCATACGGCTGCGGCATGCCTTTTCAGCTAGCAGCGTGTCGTTTCGTTAATAATGTAATATCAGGGACGATGTTTCCGTTTCCTGATCATCCGTTGCAGCTACGTGCATTCATCCGCTCGGAAAGTAAATGCGCGCGGTTCGTGCAATGTGGTTTTATGTAAAATTGAACAAAGCGGTGTAAATTACGGTCGCCGAAGCTTCTCGGATTCTAATGGGTTATTACAATCTATCGGATTGAAAGTATTACTTAGTACGTAACGTGATGACTTTTTTATCGTCAATTAAAAAGCAGAATTTTTAAATGATAGAATATCGTTGACAGTGTCATAAGTTAATAGTTGTACAGACATTAACGTTGGGTAATTATCAAGATTGAGATATTAGCATTAGAAAGAATCTACGATATTTATTGCATTGTACGAAAAAATTCTTAACAATAAAAAAAAAGAGATAATTAACGACAATGTAACGATAACGCAAATGGAATTACATTTGTGAAAGATTTTACATCTCACAAACAGCATCTTTGTGATGAGATGCAACGAGAATTCGCTTCATTATTTGCAGCTTACTGGCATTAGCATTTTGTCGACGGCGTAAGTGCAGCTATGAAATTAGTAAAAGACGTAGCATGGCGAGTCTGCAGCAAATAAACTCATAAATTCTTATCGTTGAGAGGCGCTACCTCGAAATATATTATCTTCAGCTGCCACCATTTTTCATATTTTGCCGTCACGCAAGTATAAGTCGACATTTTTCTTCGAGGATCAAACCGGATAGCGACGACGCTTGGGAGTAAAGAGAATTTCACGCATCCCCGCTTCCGAAATATACTTCTTTATTCTGCCGTGTGTCGTGTCTAAAGTCTCACTGCTGCATTTATGCATTTTGCTTTACGAGAGACGTATTATGCTTGTAAAATGTTTTTTTGTGGCACGAATAATGAGATGCTGTGGCTTGAGAGTTTTCTCGGAGAGAACGAGAGGATGAAATTTTACGAGATTGCGCCGATATTATTCACTTTTTCTGTGAAGTCGTGTCATTTTTACGTTTCTTTTTTTATTCAATTTACTGATATTACTTGCGTGATATTGTTCCACATATTGTCGTACTATTCTTGCGTGTCTTTTTTTATTGAATTTACTGATGTTACGTGATATCGTTCAATATATTGTCATATCATTTTTACCTTTTTTTTTTTGAATTTATCGATGTTACAATTTTTATTATACAATAAAGTAACATTTCAGGTATTAACATTTCTCACCGAGAGAACATCTAAATATAGAACAAACCTGATTGCGTTGCGTATCAATTTGTGTTTAGAATTAATAATGCGTTTAGATTAAATTGAGTACACCGAAGATGGCCAAATCCTAAGGACCGAAACGTATGTACAGTAATAAAGAATTGAAAATAATAGAGCACGTTAAACCAGCTCAGGCTCTAGTAGCTTATTTTAATTAATAATTCATTGTATAATAAAAAAGAGCCATTGTAATTTATATAACTTTTTTCGAATTATACAATTTTTATCGTTTGTCACAGGGATCAAAAGATCCCAAATTTGGTGAATTTTATAAATATATGTTAAAGCACAATATATTATTATAATTCTGTAGCGTTCAGAGATGAAGCGAACTAAAAAAAAGAGAGGAATATTAATTTGCAAGATCCGTTTTAAATTATAATATTATATTCAAAATAAAGTCTATATAAATCATGAATTTATTCCATTGTTCTAAATATTTTATTAAAAGAGAATTAAAAATTATTTTTATAAAACAATTATTTCACTTTAATTAATAATCGATTAGCAAATAGTGTTTGCGCAATGAGGATTTTGTACAGTTTGGTATATTTTTCGAATCGCTTCACATGTGATAATTTAATACTATACAAGACCCTCCACCGAAATGCAACACAACGATCGAAATGCGTTTAGCAGGCGACCAATGACAGGTACACAATTGGATTTCGAACGTTTGGTGGGTACTATTGTTCTCTCGGCGCATCCATTGCCACACATGCGGCAGGTTTCGGTGCTTTACAAAGCGACAATGCAGTGATCTCCTGAATAGGGCACTCGAGGCTCGAATGTCACGGTCAGATATAATGGACGCACTTCTAAATTGAAGATGAATTATGGGCAAGTGACGTCCTTAATTTCACATTAATTTATCACTCGCCAATTGATGTTATTTCAAGAACTTAATACCATTTAGTGTCG